ATCAAAATACTTGCTTCTCGGCATTCAGTTTCGATTTTAATGAACTCTATTAATTCACTTACTTCTATATTTTGGTTAGATGTTCTTTTTCTATGGAATTCAAGAGCTAAATCTTCAGGTAACAATTTAAGAATTATTGGGTTCAATAACTGTCCATATGAACCGCTAGTAATGTCTAAACTACTTAAATTTCTAACGCAGATTTGTAACTGATCATAGAGCTTTCTTAACTCAAAAACATTTGAAAAACTTTTAACTGGTTCTAACTGTAACAACATCTGCATGAATTTTGATATAATAACATCTTTACGTTTCTTCAGATAAAGCATAACCAGAAACATGATTATATGCTGAACCAGATAATAAACTTTTCAAATATGTAAACTTATCTATTTTAGATAAACTTGGATTAGAATGAATAGCATTATCATACGAATTAAAGAATTCGAGCCATTTACTGAGATCACCAGCAAATTTTTCAATATTTAATTTAGGTAACTTTACTGAAGCACTACTTGTAACAACATTATTACCATTCAGAGTACTACTAATACCATTACTAGTTGTAATTATACTTCTTTCAACAACTTCATTACTGTTAATTTTCTTTATTTTACTAACAATCTTAGCTTTAAAACGTTATAATTTTTTCATCATACTCTTCACATACAAGTAGTTCGTTATCATATTCTTTTTCATCAATTATGAGAGCATCGATCTTTGAGTCATGAGTTTTAAGTTTCTCATGGTATTCAATTAACAATTCATATGATGAATTTAGATCTTCTAGATTTCTTTCTTTACTTAATTCTTCCGATAATAATTTCTCAAGTTTATTTAGAAGTGTAGTAACTTTACTACGTACAATAGCACGTTTCTTTTTCTCTTTTGCTAAATCATCCATTATGTTTCGTTTTCAAAGATCGATACCAAGAACAAAAAATTCTTACTTTTCGCGGGTTTCAGACACCAAAAAAAAAAAAATGTTGGTGTATCTTCATGAATCATAATTTGTCAAGTTGATTTCGTTTTCAGGGAACAGGTTGGGAGAGCATTAGAATTTCAAATCAAAACTTCAAGATTTCACAGAACACAGAAATAACATTTATTAACGATAAACTTAATGATATAGTATATTACTTCCGCCTATAGCGGCCATGAAAACATAATCAAGCATCAAAAGGGTATGACATGCGTCATTCTTCAAGTTCAAGCGTCAAGTGGAATATTTTTCATCGGCGCGCATCAAGAGCGCCACCTAGCTACCGAAAAGACGGAACAACTACTATTCTAAACATGTTCATATATATTCTGAAAAAGTTATAATGGCTGCATAAATTTGCTATATAGTCAAATTTTTCATAATCAAGTTTCAAGTGTGTATTTTATGTTCATTATTTGCATTATACATTAAATATATGGTAACCTTATCTCATATGCTGCAATTATGACAAACAGACCAAAAGAATTATTATCTAGTTGGCTGTTATTTGTGTATAAAATGAAAATGAGACACAGCTTATTCTGTGTCTGTAATATATAATCATGAAATACATTTAAATTTAACATGTAGTTTTTCCTTTTATTTAATTGCATAAAAAATACATACACATCAAATGTATTGTAACAAAATTAATAATTTATTTATATTACAATAGTGATAGAAACAAATTGCTAAGAACTTACATGTTTTACTTTTCAATATCTCTAGTTAAAGGATATCAAAACTGAATCTTAACATTTAAGGCTTCACAAGGTTTTTGTTATTATATAATTCACAAGTAAAAAATAAACAAAAAAAAATGTACATATGAAATACATACAGTTTTACCTGTTACCAAATTTTAAGAAATTTTAAATCTTAATGCAAATTCAACAATGAAAAGCTCTTTTAACATTGGTTCTAATGTCAACAAAATATTTTTACAAGTATTATTCATGCTTGATGTAAACAAATTTCATTGAACATAATCAAAAACTTTACAATTATAGAATATTGTGGAAATTAAAATTCACTTTATAAAACTCCTGCACAGAAATTTTTCTTATTCATTCTGTTCACATCATCACTGAATATCACAGTTGAGGAGTTGTTTTGCAAATTCTGCATTATAGTTTACCTAATACTAAGCATGGAATTGTTTCAGTGAGTTTTATTTTTTAATCACCCTTAACTTTCAGCTGGTATACATGTATCATGAACCTGAGCATCATATCACGCCATTATACATTTGCTTAAGAAATATCACATACTTCTCAGTACCTTTATCATAAAAATATTCAGTGCATTTTATTTTAATATGAACTTTTTGTAGTAGCTTATTATGCTTTTAAAAAGTGCTTGCAAACAGAATAATTTTATTTATAGTCTATAGCACCTGACCATGACAGTTACATACAAATTTTTCACCATTCATTCGTTTTGCTAGACCAGCAGTTCAAAAAATGAAATGCAGTAGAACACTAATTATCCTATCTACTGCAGCATCAGAAATGTAATTTAGTTTTGACAGTAACTTATGGGTTTCCATCAAAAAGAATTGAAGTACAGTCAAAAGTCATTAATTCGGACACCCATAATCCGGACCTCAAAGCTAAAAACTTTCTGCGCATGCGCCGCATTGACACATGCGCATAGGCGTTTACGCGTGCGCGTAAGACCTCTTACGACTGCGCATTTGCATGTGCGCAAGCGCAGAATACGTTTTCGCGTGCGCGTTTTATGTATTACGAACGGATAAGCTAAAATTATCTAATTATCTATTTCAGTTAATGTTGATGACTGTGTTGTTCCTTAATTTTCGAATTGGATCCGGCTTATTATTTTTTGCAGACTGTAAGAGCAATACTATAAAAGTAAACTTGGACTTTCGATTATGTCAAATAGAATTTCCGAATCTGGAGCTCCCAAAGGATCGTACAAAACGAAAGTATGTTTCGATGTCCATCAAACAAAAAGCGGAATTGCTGCAAAAAATGGATAAAGACATGAAGAATGTGACAGAGAGGTTAGTGAAAACGAAAAAATTTCGATTGACAAGTTAGTCGGTATTCTCGGCACAGCAATTAACGGGACTTGAACAGCGGAACTTTGTAACTGAACAAAAAAATTATGTCTGTTTATAGAATTAAAGAGAAAGTATTATCACATAAAACGAAGCAACTTAAACAACTTACATTGAAAGAAATGTTTAAATAAAGTTAACAAATAAATATGAAGCTTTTTTTTTTTTTTTTTTTTTTTTGTAAATTTTGATACTCTTTAAATCATAATTGTTCTTTATTTCATAAATTACGGTTTCATATTTTTAATTTTAGAATTCCTGCATGCCATCTTACGCGATTTAAACTGATGATCGATAATCCGGAATCGCCGAAGTCCCGACGAGTCCGGATTAACGACTTTTGACTGTATATACTAATAATGTTGTGTAATTTCTCAATGTTCTTCAAAATTTTACTTTGTTGGTACAGTATCTAAAAATGGTACACTTCATTGATACAGATAAAAAAGACCACAAAAGAAAAGGTAACTTTCTTTGATTCAAGGAAAAAATTCAAGTTTATTTTTAAAAACAATCTTTTAATATTATTTATTTACAAGATGTGTAATTATATATTCCCCCTATTTGTGTAAAAGGAAATTTTACTGCTGAATCGATGTCCAGAAAAGGTGCGAATCAATAATTGCATTTAACAAATACATACTGCTACTTCAAAACTTATAAATTGTGATTTACACATTTATATAGTTTTACATCATTTAAACAATTTCAAAAATCAATTATTTTGTGTAATATTGCACACTTAAAAATACTGAAATAATATCCTTTTCAATCACCAATTTTATGCATAAATACTTATAAATTGGATAAATTTATGCACATTTAATTTTTTGTGGTATTTCTTTATCTGATCCACCTTTGTATTATTTAATTTGGATATCCAATGTTCTACTACAAATCACACAATAAAAAGATCTTTTTATAATGATAAAGCTTACTTTTCAGCTAATTTTGTGTATTTATATAATAACATTTATTCAGAAAAATACATTTATGTTAAGAATAGGATTGCCATCAACCTTTTCAAATGTGCAATCTCACCACAGTTTATGCTTTTCAGTGATTATTCAAGGCACTTGAAACTAATTTTCATAAATATGCAAAAACGCATGTCAATAATAATGAATAACAGTGAATTAAATAGGAGAAAAGAGAGAATTGCATTTAGAATGTAATAAATAGAGATTATCTTTTCTGTGAGTTCTGCTGGTAAAATGGCAGCTTTAATGTGTGATAATCAAGGAAACGTTCATCATATAATTTTAAACAGAATTAATGAAATTATCAAGAGCCATAGGATTGCATTCTTCAAAATAGTGGAAGCAAAAAAAGTTGCTGAAAAATAGGACAATGTCTTTGGATTCCACTTTACCTTCCTATTATTATAAATAAAGTAATTTTGATTCTTCACTTAATTTTCTATAGAAGTTTCTATTAAAAACTATAAGATGTTTAATATAAATCTTAAAAAATTAAACGGGAAATATTATTCTTAAATAAAAATTAAATTTATGATTAACCTTAGCAACTGAAAGCAGAATAAATAAATATTTTTTACTGGAATACTTTTCCAATATTAATGAATAGCTTACAACATTCAAATATTTTACATATAGTGAATAATTTTGGTACAATACCTAATTAATCAGTTATTTAGTAATGAGTGAAATAACATATAAAAGATATTTTTGTATTCAAACAATTAAATCATTATTTAAAAAATAATTCTAAACTATCTTCCAGTTTAAAATTAGGCAAGAAAGCAGCATTACCTTAGCATAGATGATAAATAAAACTCGATTTCATGGGTGTCTAGATACGGGCCTGTCTTCTTCAAGGATGAAGAAAATTTTTCTTCCTTTTGATAGCTTCCTATTTTAAAATTTTTGTATAGCAGATCATAAACATATTGCATTTTACAGCGGGGGGGGGGGATCATTCTCTTGAATCCACTTTATTTCTTTAAAGGAATTACACTTAATTTATTATTCTAATTAACCAGCAATCACATAAGATTTCAAACAACAATTACCTCAATTTGCATTTGGAAATTAAACTGCACAACCTAGTCCTAAAACGATAAACAAATTTTGCACTCAAATACATTGATGCTGAGGAAGCACATATTCCATCTGCAAAAGCTTCCACTGTCAATGTATACAATGTTAAGAGTGGGTAATATCATTAATTTATTGGTTTATTATATCGATTCATCAATGGTATTTTTGTAATTCTCCAACACTGATATTTTTACTGTCAGACGAGTGGGATAAGTCGCAACACAACAGAACAATTTTGAAGCACAGTTAACTTTAGGTAACAGGCCACATTTAACTGACATAGCTATTTATTTAGGACAAGTATTAAAGAACAGATCTTATTCGAAAGAAATATCTATGCTGATTCAGATCATGGTATTAAGCTATTTAAAACCAAAGGTGCAGATCTTAAGATTATTATTTTTATACTTTTTAATTTGATTGCATAAATACATTTAATTCAGAGTATAACTTAAAACATTTAGTATTTTTATAGAATTACATTATACATTTTTTTGCTTTTAAAATATACAGAAGATATATATATTGTTGTGATGTTAATCTCTATATATTTATCTAGTATTCTATAAAATGTTTCACTGTTCCATCTGAATTAATGTTCCATCCTGAATATCTAGTATTCTATAAAATGTTTCACTGTTCCATCTGTATCAATAGACGAGACATGTCTATTGATAAACCATATTAAACTTTAAAAGAACCCTTTTGGGCAACCTTTAAAATCTGAATCCTTTCAGAATTTGTTTTCATCATGCTGTAACGGTTGTAAGCAAGGATTTGTTAATAACAAAATGACATCTCAACGAAAGGAAAAAGTTAAATGTATTTTGTGGTATCATGAAACTAAATTGCCTATCATTGACAGTCCAGAAGTAATTGTCCAAATTTAATAAAAATTTACTGATTAATTATTTGTCTCCAATGTTTGCTCTGTCCCTCAGAATTATCCATAGATGCCCACTGTCATACTAATTAATAGATCGCACCTCAAGGAAATTCAATGCTGAAATACCTAATATTTTTTTCTAATAGAAGTGGACTGAAATATTTAATGAATATCAAGCATACATTTGGAAGAGATATTTACATTTTTCAAAACATAGAAAAGAAAAACTCTATGAAACGGGAAAAAAAATTATGACCGAATACTCTTTACTCTTCTTTGTTATGCAATCTTTTTTAATAAAATTTTAGAGTAATTTTGATTGTTCCCTTTTTAATTTTAAAACTCCGACTTGTCCTAAATAAATGAAATTGACTGCACTTAGTCTATTAAAATGCATTGTGGACGGAATATTGCACAAACCAGAGAAACTGCTCTATTAGTTGGTAGCAAAATATTTGATTATACATATAATTGCACAATATTTTAATATTCTTAACATTTCTACATCTTAAGTGCGAACAGGCACTTTTTTAGCAGTTTCAAATTAGCCTTTCCAGCTATTTTCAGTCTTACCAGGGTGCAAAAAATTAATCAAAGGAATGCCTTTCAACTTATAACTGCCTCCATAAAAACTGTGATTTGAAGTATTCATATTTTGCATATAAACAATTAAGAGTAAATTATTGTTGGAACATTTTTACTCATATAAAAACATAAACTGCATCCATCACAGAACAAGAAATGCTTTTGCTTAAATTGAACATATATATTTTATATCTTATGTGTATTCTAATTTTGGGGGAGGGATTACAAAAGCACTGATTTTTAAATTATCTTAAGGCAGTCATTCTCAACTTATTTTGTCCCATGCAATCCTTTAACCATTGCTAGATATTTCCTTGCCCAACCTTTCCAAAATTTGAAAAATAATATACAGTGGAACCTCAAGATATGAGCACCTCTATATACGAGAAATTCGAGATATGAGCGAACAATTCGTCTCTAAATACAAGCACTGATTCAAGCAACAAGCCAGGCTGTTGGTATGCTTGGTGCGTTTCCCAATCCGGCTTGACTCAAGAGAATCCCCTCGTCAGATCACTCAGTGTTCTTTGATCTGTATGCTTGTGAGTTAATTGTTTTTTACTTTTAATGTGAAAATAATTATTTCACAATGCCTCCCAAGAATATTGTTGCCTTCAATAGTGCTGCAAAGAAAACGAAGGAAGCAATGACTGTTGAAATTAAGAAAGAAATTAGAGATAAACATAAGCATGGTGTAAGAATAGCGGAATTGGCAAAGACTTACCGTTTGACATTGCTGATCTGTTCTGAAGAAGAAAGAAATTAAGAAACTTGTTCTGGCCAAAGGAGTTACTGTCACATCCAAGCACCATCCAAAACTCCTAGATGTTGAGAAGCTGATTTTGGTGTGGATTAAGGAGAAGCAGTTAAAAGGAACTTTGGTGTCGGAAGCTAACGCTAAGAATCATACTTAGACCTTTTCCGAAAAACACCAGGTACGTCAACTGAAGATGAGATGGCAATGAGATTTTTTTGGGGGTGTTGAAAGCATTAACTGAATTTCCATTATTTTCAATGGGGAAGTTTGTTTCTAGATACAAGAAATTCGCTATAAAAGCTGAATGGTGGAACAAATTAAACTCGTATCTTGAGGTTCCACTGTACATTTATTTAGATTTGGATTATTTTTTAACAATTTTTACAAATTAAACAGGAAAAAGTTTAGAAAATGTTGATAAATACTAAAACTAGACTGAAAGTAGTTTTTTATATTTATGAATTAAAACTAAATACGTATCAGTTAAATAAAAAAATTATCTACATTCCTTTACGGCTGAAACTTTGAAATCCTCCAGGAAGTGGGGGAATTTTGCACTGGTTGAAAATCCCTGCCTTAAGGAAATATCTAATTGATAAGAATTTTCACAAATTAACAATACAGAATTTATTTGGCAATTTTTAAAATACAAGACTATAATACAATAATAAAAATTATTATTACTAGATATTATAATTTTTCACATATAATATTTATGTTGTTCACATAAAGTTCTTCATCTTAACTTGCAATGCATGTGTTGAATTCTAATCTTATATAAAGAAAACTTAACTGGACTGTAGGAATAGCAAGTACAGTCAATCATTACTGTATTTATTCTACATTATATTGTGATAAGAATTCATCTGTTTCCTAAGGCCAACTTCCATTTTAACTTTTAATTAAGAACATGTTTTAGAACAATTAAAGATGTGCTACATTCATCTTCAGTTCCATTTGTACTATAACATTACAATATTCAGAAATTACAACAATTAATTGCATTAAATATATTAAATTTTGTTTGCAGGTTTTTTTATATTACTCTTGAAAAGTCACTGAATCTTGCATTAAATTATATCTCTTCCTGAAATATACTGAACTGCGAAATTAAAAAAAATTCTTAAAACCATTCATTTTTATAATACGACTACTAAACTTCAAATGGATTTAAATATCTTGTGTATTCAGCTTCATATTATTGTCACAGGAGATGGATTTCCAAATACATTTTGAGAAAGCATGATAAGTTATTTTATTGAATGTTTCAGAGATTTTGTGAAATATGTATTAGTCAACCAAATAATGCGCTTTCTTGGTAGAAAGTTTAAAAACACATTTCAACTTAACAGTAACATCTAAGGCTTAAAACTTTTTGAACCCCCCCCCAATAGACCATGCGTTTTATCTTCATGAAAGGAATGTATTCTTATATCTATATGTAAGTATTTAAGGTAATGCTCTAAAGCATAATGTTAGGCTGACATTCAAAAAATATATTTAAATCCAAACAAAATTTAGCCTTATGGTTCATGCTGACTAATGTGAAAAAACAAATTATACACTTTGAGAAAATCTGGCATAAGCATTGTTTTTTCACAGAACAAAAATATTCAGTTGATTATTTTATCAATTGCATTGTTTCAAATATAAACAGTCAAAATTCTAATTCCAACTACTAAGTAAAAGTGAACATAAAAAAATAATAATGCAAGATATGGCTTTTGTTTCTTTTTAGCTTTTCAGAAGAAATGTGAAGCAATTACAGTCTCTTGGCTGATCAGTACTCACATATCGCTACGAGTTATGATCCTCAAGAAAGGCCTCTCTTCAAAAGAAGCAAAAATATCAATCTTGTTTATTAAATTATTATTTACATAAAAATTCAGCATACAAATTATAAAATTCATACAAATAATATACTATCTTTGTATTATTAAACAAAATAAATTAATTATTAAATTAAATTAATTTTGAACAAAAATTCCACATAAAACAATTTCGTGAAAAAATTCCACACAAAGCAATTCTGAACAATTTTGATAGCAAAATGCTTTTATAAATGCACTTACCTCAATGGATCTTCTGATTTTCATTAACAAAACATTGTTTGTATTTTATTTTACATCTTAAAATAATTTCTACAAATAATATTTTTTTACTGTACAGCATGTTATATGGTCACCAAATATTATTCTAATAGAACATAGCTTTTAAAAAAATGAAGTTCAGTTAAATTTGCAGTTTAGGAATATTTTAATAAATAAAACAGAAAACTTGTGTGTTGGCCAGAATTATAGTTAAATTTACAATCTAGGCATGTTTTAATAAATAAAATTGAAAACCAGTATATTGACCACTAAATATATATATCCTATCATTATTGTTCAAAGTACATGAAACAAAAGAAAAAGACATTTTTTATCATCTGGAAAATAGAACAATTTTCTTTTTTTTTTTTTTTTTTTTTTTTTTTTTCCCAAAGAAAACTAAAATATACAGCCAAACATATTCAATAATAAAAACAGCAGAATGAGGTTTTAATTTTACAGAGTATAAACACAATAAATGTGCTTAAAAAATTAATAACCTTATGAAAACTTCAGTGTTAAAATACTTCAAAAGACACTGATAAGTAATATTTATTTATTTATATTTTTTAAATTAAGTGCTCAAAATAGAATCTAAAATCAGATTAGCAACTATGAAGTTTAAATTTATTTCGTCCTTCACTTCCTGAGATCAACCACAGTTATGGATGCGTAGTTATCCAACTTCACATGAATACTTTCCTATAAGAATGGGAAAATAAATCAATAAATACCCCAAAAATTTTACAATAACATTTCATATATTATCAATGCATCATTAAAGTTAACTTGAAATAATCATCGCAAAACAGGTGACCGCATGTGAAATGATTTCTAAATCAGAATCAGAAAGTTTGCATTACTCTCCAAGATTTTCTCATTACATTAAAATGTAATCTAGAGAAAAAAATATTAATTTTTATTTTTAAAATAGCTTTCATTCAATTTTGATTACATGAACTAATTTTAAAAGGCTTCAGAAGACTAAAAAGTTGCCAACTTGATATGAAATTGAACATGCTTGTTCAAATCATCAAATATATCTTCTAATTCATCAGAGCCTGGTGAGCAAATTTTCTTCCTTTTCTGTTTTGCTTGGAATAAAATTCATCTACAGCAGTAATATTTAAACAAATCCTTTGCTATGAGGCATGCTTTAATAAACGCATCCTCTATTAAGGGCTCTTTTTTCATAACCTTTCATATTTCTTTTAACATTCATATTAGTTTTTCATAATTAAAAATAACTTTTTATGTTTCATACAGAAAAGTTGTGTATAAAATTAGAAAGAGGATCACAAGTTTCAAAAAATGAAACCGAAGCAATTTTTCTTTTCAATATTCTCAATTTAAATATGGAGATGAAAATGTAATTTACAGCATTTTGATAGATCAATCTATTTTTATCTTATATTGTTACCAAGCACCTCCCTAAATTCCAAATTTTTGCTGCTCCTAAATTTTGGGTCCCAGTACTTTCCTTAAATTCTAAAAATTTTGTAATCCTGTAATTTTGTTGCTCAATGCTTCTCTTAATTCCAAAAATTTTTTCTTCCCTAAATTTTCTTCCTGGCGGACCACACAAGTTCTGGTGCCAGTTCTGGGTTTATGTGAATAACAAATCAGTTATTCTTAATTCAAATAGCACTCAATGTAATCTTTTGGCCTATAAGTATCATTAACAAAACTTATTTTTAGCATATGGAAAGAAATTTTTGTTAAATTTTTCCCGTCAACACTTTCTAACACATTTAACTTAAATCTGTAATCATCACCAAGCGTAATGTCAACATAAAAAAGGTTACCATACTCTTTGTTATTCAATTACTAATATAAAATTTTAAAAAAATGTTTAAGCATCACTACATGGGTGACTCAAGTTCTCATGTGTTGATAAGCATGCAGTGATGAAAACAAAATATAAAAAATAATGATTCACCAGGATGGCATCAGAGATATAAAATATCAGTATGTGTAAAATCAACAATGTTTCTATGTAAAATGTTTTGATTTGAGATATATGCCAAGCATATGCTTCTATGGAGCCAAATTACTGGTCATACAAATTTACACTTAAATGATTGTTTCCTCAATAACAATGTACTTTATTTAGTGCCAAAGTGAAATTAAGAATTGAAACTCTCCACATTGTTTGAAATGAGAAATATTGTCAGCTAATTTTAAATTTATTTTTCTTTCAAAATGTGGCATTTGAAAAAACGGTGGGCCTATCAGTGGCTGAGCGGTAAAAGCCACTGGATGCTAGTAGTTTGGTCTGGGGTTAGTCCCAGTGAAAGGCTGGCTGCAGGGTGTTTTTGTGGTTTTCTCCATGTGTAATGTGGATACAAAGCAGTTTTCTTTAAAAAGACCTCCACAGGACATCTTTCCCTTTCCATGCAAGTACCTAAGGGTAATAAACAAAAAAAAAAAACTGTGGATTGAAAGATATGCTTTTGATGAAGTGAAAATATTCCCATTCCATAATTCCAAAACATTGTGAAATGCACAGTATTAAAATTTCAATAATCAAAATAAGCAACATTGTTAAGTGGAAAGGGAAAAATCATCAATCTTTATTTCTATATCAAAAGAAGACCTAAACAAAGTATTTCTAATGTATCATTGGAAACAAGAGAAAAATCTGCCAGTGCAGAAATCAATAGTGAACTTTTCAAATACATGTGAAGCAACAGTAAATAAAATACCAAACCAAAATTTACGACTAATAAAGCTAAAAAGCATAATGTTCACCAGCTTTTGCCGAGGCAAGTGGCTCACTGCAAAACTCATAGAACCCTGTATGAAAACTATTTAGGAGATAAATGAAAATACATTGTAACTATTCATGAAGCATGGATTTATCTAAATAACTACAGTCAAAAGTCTTTAATCCGGACTCGTCGGGACTTCGGTGATTCCAGATTATAAATCATCAATTTAAATCTGGTAAGATTGCATGCAGAAATTATAAAATTAAAAATATGAAAAAGTAATTTATAAAATAATGAGCAATTATGATCTAAAGGGTATCAAAATTTACAAAAAAAGAAGCTTAATATTTATTTGTTTACTTTATTAAACATTTCTTTCAACGCGCGCATGCATAAAGCATACATTACGCATAGCCGAAATTAGAAAATTGCAACCAGAAAACTATTTAATGTGTATTCGTGATATTTATAATGATGAGGAATTTGATTTAAATCATATCAAAGATGGAGTACATCGAGATGAAATACTACATTTAGTTAGTAATTATAAGAAATAAATAAAAACAAATAAAATAATAATAATAATAATAATCAAATAAAATAAAAACATCTGCCCTGAAGATAAGGATAGTACTGACAGATCAACTTCGAGTTCATTGTGTAACCAACAATGCGCTCTAATATGGTATTATCGAACAGTAGTAACCAAGAGTCTGTAGGGGACGATACAGTTCTGGCATCACCAACATTTCCAGGCAATTTAGTGATAATATTATGCGAAACTGTTCTTATATTTTGTTTCGGCTTTTTTTATTCCATTTTGTAATCCCATCTTTCCCAGTATAAAATTCGCCTAAATTGGATGCATCTATTTCATTATCTGAATCAAATTCTTCTTCCGATGAAGTTTTATGAGCACTAAATTGCTCTTCATCAATACTTTCTTCATCGTCTCCATTTATTGATTCTTCATCTGTTGATACTTCGACAAGTAATGTTTGAAGCTGTTTCATTTCATCTTTACAGCTTAAATAACGATGCATCTTTTAAATTCTTGTACAGGCGTTATTAAAAAAAAAAACACAAATGCAAGAACACACGTTGGGTCTTTCAGGCCCGGAGGTGCAGTTTCTAGCTAAAGACAGCTTCGAAAAATATGACCTTCTATGCAATGGAAAGAGGGTGACCTTCGAAGCATATTTTCTTTTGAACTGATCAATGAGAAAATAGACTAGAAGAGAAACACGCTAATGTGACAATCAAAATCGTAAAAACAACCTTGTATTTAGCGTAAGTATAATGAAACACTCAATCGATTTCGAGGGCAGCTAAAGGTCCCTCCTCATCAGGAGAAAGAAATACCAAGAAAGAAGAAAATAAAGGAGAAGGAGTCTGTGTGTGAGAAGGAACATGTGGTCCTTATCAGCACTGCACGTGGTTATAACTGGATTTTTAATCAGAGTTGCACTGGCCGCCTACTTTTACTGAGCCAGGCTATCTGATCAAGCATAAAGGACAAGAAAAATTAGCGAAGTTAAAATAGGGAGCGAGGGGCAAATGCACCTTCACGCTCAAAATCTGAACTTCAAATAATGGAAAGCAACCACTGAACGGATTTTTATACCCTCTGGTGGTACCAAACGCGAGAAGGTAACGCCAGCTATCGGCAAAAATAACTGAATTAAGATAGTAGAATTTTAAAGGCACTAGGAAGGACTGGATTGGACTTCAAATCATTAACTAAACCTGCTAAATCTTTGTGAATGTGAAAAGCCTCAAGAAAATCCAATTCACCTATGGAAGAAGCCTTTTGGATAATTTTTGCAGACCCAAAGTCAAAATTATGGTTAAATGTCCAACTATGATATGCTATTGAAGACTTGTTAATTTTGCCTTTTCTGACATAAGATTCATGTTCCTTGATACGAAACTTCAACGCTCTTTTTGTTTGGCCAATATATCTTAAACCACACTGACACGATATACTATAAACTACCCAAGAATTCAAGACAGAAACGCAATCTTTTAGAATCGAAGGGTGAATTTTATTAATAGGGGAGAAAACGACTTGAAACTTTAGTAAGCGTGAAAAACGCTTACTAAAGTTTCTCTGAGTCAAACCCACTTTGTTTTCCAAAATGCATATTTTCATCAAGTTGAAGGATTGGCTATGGGTAATCCTCTCAGTCCGGTACTTGTTGACATTTATATGTACTATTTTGAGATGAAATTATTTGATAAACTATCTTTCGTCTTTGGATTCGGTATGTTGACGACACTTTCGCACTTTTTGATGGTTATAAAGAGGATTTATCCGAGATTCTATCTATTATGAATTCAATTGATCCAGCCATCCAATTCACTCTTGAAATTGAATCCAACAATTCCCTCCCCTTCCTTGATATTCTTATAATCCACAATGAAACTGACTTTAGCACCACTGTGTACCGTTATCCCTTTGCAGTTTGTTTACCACCCCATGCCAAGTCATGCCACCCTGTTAAGCAAAAAATGGCTTCTTTTTACCATTATGTATTCTGCGCGCTTAAAGTTTGTTCCTCTGAATCTTTGCTTACCAATGAACTTAATTATTTGAGAGCAGTTGCAATTGACCGTGGATTTTCTCCCGTGATTATTGATAAAGCCGTTAAAAAATTTTCAGATTCCCATCAAAGAAGACATTCCACTGTTAGAAATAATATTAATGACCTTGTTGTGCTTTCATTTTATCCTTCTGTTAGCTATAAAATTGCACGGATTCTCCAGAAATTCAATTTTCAAGTCGGTTTCTCCCCTATTAATAAAATTCACCCTTCGATTCTAAAAGATTGCATTTCTGTCTTGAATTCTTGGGGAATTTATAGTATATCGTGTCGGTGTGGTTTAAGATATATTGGCCAAACAAAAAGAGCATTGAAGTTTCGTATCAAGGAACATGAATCTTATGTCAGAAAAGGCGAAACTAACAAGTCTTCAATAGCATATCATAGTTGGACATTTAACCATAATTTTGACTTTGGGTCTGCAAAAATTATCCAAAAAGGCTTCTACCATAGGTGAATTGGATTTTCTTGAGGCTTTTCACATTCACAAAGATTTAGCAGGTTTAGTTAATGATTTGAGGTCCAATCCAGTCCTTCCTAATGCCTTTAAAATTCTACTATCTTAATTCAGTTATTTTTGCCGATAGCTGGCGTTACGTCCTCTCGTTTGGTACTACCAAAGGGTATAAAAATCCATTCAGTGGTTGCTTTCCATTATTTGAAGTTCAGATTTTGAGCGTGAAGGTGCATTTGCCCCTCGCTCCCTATTTTAACTTCACTAATTTTTCTTGTCCTTTATGCTTGATCAGATAGCCTGGCTCAGTAAAAGTAGGCGGCCAGTGCAACTCTGATTAAAAATCCAGTTATAACCATGCGCAGTGCTGATAAGGACCACGTGTTTCTGAAACTCCTCCTCCTTTATTTTCTTCTTTCTTGGTATTTCTTTTTCCTGATGAGGAGGGACCTTTAGCTGCCCTCGAAATCGATTGAGTGTTTCATTATACTTACGCTAAATACAAGGTTGTTTTACGATTTTGATCAATGAGAAAATATTTAAATTTATGAATAAAAAAATGTTGCTTCATTGAAACAAGCAGTAAATAACTTACTTCATACAAAGCAGGATCATTTGGGTGTGGGTGAAACCCTTTCTGTTGACATTGAGATATATAGTCTAAACCATAATCAGGTGTTAAGGAAAATATAGATGTTCTGAAAAGTAATTTCATTTTATTGGTTTTAAATTAAATATACAACAACAACATAACTACATTAATAACATGAAGTCTTTGAAAATACTCTTTCATCTACTGTCAGTAAGCAAAATATCAGCAATTAATATTAATTCTTAGTAACAAAGTAAGTTATTTCCAAATATATCACGTGGCTTAATTGTGGAGTAAATATAATTTACAAATTGACTTTAAGTGAAGAAATTAAATTTAATGTCATTCAAAGAAATTTTTAGTACAAATTTTACGAGCTTATTTTTTGGATTTTATCTCAAAACATTCCATTTATAGTATTCCTTTGAAAATTAGATTTTTGTCATTCATAAAAATGGCATAGTGAAACAGTTTTTCTGTAATAATTTGGACTTTTTAGAAATTCTAAATTAATGAAAGAAATACATTGTTTTACAAAATGAAATTCTGAACAAGGTGCATGACTAAATTGTGTTTTATTTTGCACTGTATAGTCACTGAGAAATTATTTATCTACACCTTAGTTTGAGGCGGGGGGGGGGGGGGGGGTTCCTACTTCAGGCGTCAGCCATAGTAGTAAATTTAAACAAATATTAAAATTAAGCAGAAGTACCCTGCTGCATATGAAAGCTATTGGTCAGTGATAACATATAGGTTGAAAGGTTATTGCAGTCAACAATGTGGAATGAGGCAATAAATTAAGACAGATTTTTTATAATTAAAATGATAAAAAAAAATCATATTGACCAGTATAATAGATATATTTTACACACCACTAAAGTAAATTCAGATATAATTTTAGGTTACACCAAAGTACATAAGTGACCAAGGACAGATCAGCAGTGAATGGCCAGATCAGTAGCTATGGATTAAATAGCAAGCTTTTGGAGACCTAAGAGTGCACTAATTTCTCTAACGCTGCTCCATGACACTGACTTAGGTTGACTGCCTATTGACAATCAGCCTGTAGGTCGCTGAGGAACACCAATGCAATAAATTTAAACAGATTTTTAAATTAAAATTAAATAGAAGCATAGCTATGCTCATGAAAATTGCCAATCATTGGTGGCCTACAGATTAATGGTTATTGGCCAATAACTTACAAGCTGGCAGTCACCACTCACATCATTGGCAGGGCAGTAAACTTAGAGATTTTTACGGTACTTTCTCATTATCTGCACTCCCTAAAATGTATTCATGAGGCAATACACTATGACACTAAAATAAGCAACCCATAATGTCACCAAAATATATTTACGTAATAACCCAGGTATGTGCATGTATGCAGCAAACTAGCATGGATTTCAACTTATTAAATTCAAAGGTCATTTTTCAGATTAGTATGAGCATTTTCCTTGTAAGGAATCATAATGGGACTGTGGAGTTTACTAAATGATGAAAAGAAAATGTTGCATTTCTTCAGAAATTTGGTGCCTTGTCTAATCAACAGAGAATGCAGATATTCAGATTCTGTGACATTATACTTCTCAAACAATCAAATTTCATGAAAATGCATTGAAAATTGCAAGTAAAAAGTTAGAATTGAGGTCAGAAATCAGTTTGAAGAGAGCTGTATTTCATTTATGACAGCTATTTGGTTTATTGAGCAGAAAAATATATGTCAAAGAAGTTCTGTGAAGAACTGGAATTACCTCCAAATAGATTGTTGTAATTATCTCCGAGAAGTGAGTATGACTTCTATGCAAAAAGAAGAATGTTACAAAATTGGTGACTCACTGAAACAGACACGAGTTTATTTACATGGCACAAAAATAGATTTTGTATAAATTTGCTGTGAAAGTAGCGAAACATTTTTTATGACTGTTCTTGACAGAAGCATAATAACAAAAATTGAAAAGTATATCAAACAAGGAATTATTTATCTTTTCTGATAGCTGGAAAGGATATAGCACCGAGGAACTGGAAAACTACGATGATAGGTAGCTGATAATGCTGATGATATCTAAAATCACTGTTGAACAAACTATATAAACTATTATGAATGACTCTAGCTACATTAGTCAAGTTCTTGATAAAATTAATAAACAAGGTGCAGCAGAAATTATCTGAGAGTTTCCAAAACAAGTGGTATGAATAAGAGTTGCATGAAAATGAACACATGTTATTGTACAAGTGATTTTGCTGGGTTTAATGATTGGCAAGGTCATGAGGAGAAGGGGCATCTTAATAGGTCCCTTTTAATAATATACTTTCTATGGAATGGTCAGACCATTACATAAATTATTAAAACTAATCCTTTAGTTTTGAAAGTTTATTAGTACTTATGTAATATTTTTGCTATTGAATAGTTTTCAAGCAGCTGTGACATATTTGGGAAAATGTCTTCCAAATTCTTTTCATAAATGTACTGAAGTAATGTTGGCAAAGTCAGACATCTGTTGGCAGTTTGTAATAACATGGGGGGGTAGCACTTCTAGATCTAAGGTATTTATACCTTCTGAATTTTCATTTTGGGTTCCTCAGAGCATCTACAAGCTCATTACAACCGCTGTTCAGATATTCCTAGCACAAAACAATATTTCTTTCAATGGCATAAGAGCAGTTTCTATAATAACATTTAAAAAATTTAGCTGTAATTTATTTTTTTCTGCTAAAATGGGTTAATTTCTGATTTCATAAGAAAACTGCTTTTTATAGTTTTACATCTGGTATCACTAGACCGAAGAACTCACTCTAAATATATAATCAATTCCCTTGCTACTAATCCCTTTTCTTGGGACTGCAATGCTTTACTAAATCCCTTTTCTTGGGACTGCACACACAACGTTGCATTTAGAAGTTTTATTATAGTGTCTAATTCTGCAGTTTGCCTTGTTAATGTTGTTGATATGAACAAGAAAAGTAGACCAGATCAATTTCATTTTATGGCATGAAAAACATGCATTTTTCTGAGAATAAGTAAACAAAAAAACAAGTAAATGGTTCACACAAAGCACTAAGAACTCCTACATTTCACCACTCGGTACTTTTCAAATGTTTAACATGTCTATAATCCAAGGAAGATTCTAGATCCTAGATTTTGTTGCAAGGCATATTTTCCTTCCCTCACTCTGTTAAATCGACCACTAGAATAAAAGGTATAAAAATATCCTTGAAAATTATTTTGTGACACATGGAGATAATTTTCTTTTGTTTAAATCACTAATGGCTTTAATGCACACAATGCTTTTGAAAAGTTAGTGCTGGAAGTCTAAGAGCTACATGACATCTTTTTAGCATTAGAAAATAAATTTTTGATAACATGAAACAGAAACTAAATATTACTAATGAGAAATTAAATACTACCAATTGAAGTGTGATTCCAAATAGATTCCAAACAGATTCTAACAATTCTTTATAAATTACTTTTCACTTGCATAGCATTAATTAAAGATAAATTACACATGCATACAAAATTGGCTCCCAAATCAAGTATCTTTTAAGTAAGATCATTTATTTATAAAAGTTTTACTTCCAGTATGTCTCTGGAATTATTTATTAAAATGGAGAAATACTTACGAATGCATAATTTTCTTTATAACTATTTTTGATTTGCATTCCAATCACATATTAAATTTTGACATATTTTCTTCCTTTTTATATTTGCTGCACTTTATTTATAGCTTTTAATTTTTAATGTGAAAAATTTTACAAATTTACACCATTTTAATTCTAAATGCATGACTTGATACTACTGTTTATATATCGCAAAAAATTTGGATTTTTTTCTTTAAGTGTTATGTAATTACAAACATTTTTCCTCTTTATCAGATGATCTCCAATATGCAACAAAAGAAATGAGAAATTTTGCTACTGTAATCAGTGTAAAATCTTTTATAATGAAAAATGAATGAAAAAGACAAATGATCTTAACTCATTGAGACATAGTCATGTGCAGGATATTAGATTTAATTAATGTAAAAAACAAGTAAAATTTATCAAAGCCTGGCTCTTCAACACAGGAAATGATGACATCAGAAGGAAAAATAATAATAATAAACTTACAATCTCAAAATTTCTGATTAAAATTTATACCCCATAATAAATTATCTCAGTATTTTAAAGTTAAAAAAAAGTAAAATATCGTAAAAATTCGTACAAATATTTCACTGCTTAACATAAGATTCATTTATTTTTTGTGGGGGGTGTATTTTCATACTTTCTTATTACGTTCAATAATGGGAGAAATATTATGAAAGTCAGCTAAATGTTTATTATTTCCTGAAACAAAATTAACACTTCTTACTGTCAACTGGAAACAACAAATTTCTACTACAGTAGACGTTCGTTTTTACGAACCTCTTTTTTACGAACACTCTCGATTTGACGAACCAGCGAATGGTCCCGAATACACTCCCATAGATGTAATGTAATTTTGCGCTCTTATTTACGAACTACAAATCAGGAAAATCTCTTTTTTGCGAACTCAGTTTTCATACTTCTGTGTGTTTCATTGGGACGAAGTGTGAAGGTCAAATAAAATCTCCAACTATTTTGAGGCAGCAAGTGCGAAACATTCGAAGAAGTACAGTAAGGAAGGAGGGGGCGCAGAAGAGGGGGAATTAGGACAAATTTATGGTGTTGTTTGTTGTGGGAGGCTCTCAGAAGAGCATCGGCCTGATGTTGTTGGGTGGGGGTAAGACCATTCGTGTTAAAGGGGTTTGGGTTGCTTCTAAAAGAGAGTTGTTGCTTTTTGTAATGTCATAGTCATTTGATCTGGACAACTCAATCAGTGAAGTCTCGTTAGTCGAGAGAGGAGAGATTGGGCCAGTTTTGTTAAGTAAGATTCTTAGAGCTATGTCGCAAATGAAGAAAGAAACGAATTTGTTAGCGGTTGAAATAAAGAAGAAGATTTTAAAAGAAGTTGACGAAAAAATATTAAGCAAGACACAAATTGCTCAGAAATATGGAATTCCTAAAAATAGTTTATCGACGATTTTAAAGGCAAGAGAGAAGATCTTTGGAGCTAAAAAAACGGAAACGATGAATGTGGACCCTCCTCTCGAAAAATATTTTCGAGAATCAAAACACCCAAATTTGGAAAGGGCTTTGCTTGTTTGGTTTCGAAAGATGAGAAGCTTAAACATTCCAATTGATGGAAATGTACTTAAAGAACAGCACACTTTTTGCTTCCAAATTAAACATCAAAGATTTTAAAGCATCGGATGGTTGGGTTACAGAATTTAAATTTCGGAATGGTTTTGAGTTTGGTTTCGGAAAGTGTGTGTGGTGAAAGTGCAGCATGCAGCAGTAGACACGTCATGAATGATGGAATGAATGGAAAGAAGAAAAGTTGAAATTGCTTCTTTCTGAATACGCTGCAGATGACGTTTATAATGCGGACGAAACGGCTTTGTTTTTTAAGATTTTGCCAGAAAGAACATTAGCTACAAGGAGATAAATGTGTTGGAGGTAATAAAGCTAAAGAGAGACTTACAGTTTTGATTGCAGCCAACATGACTGGGTCACAAAAATTGCCTCTGCTCTTTATTGGAAAATATCTGAAACCAAGGTGTTTCAAAAATGTTCAGAAGATTCCTGCTGCATATTATGCTAATAATAAGGCCTGAATGACTGGCAACATCTACAAAAAATGGTTGAGAGATTTAGATAACCGTTTTTCAGTAGAGAAGCGCAAAGTTCTCCTAATCGTGGACAATTGTACTGCACACATGGAAGTCACTGGGCTTCAAGCAATCCGTGTGGAATATCTCCCACCAAATGCAACTGCAGTTTTACAGCCAATGGATCAGGGGATAATCAATAGTTTCAAGCGAAATTATAAGACAGTGCTCTTGCAAAGAGTAATCCTTCGCTTGGAAAGGGAACAACCTTATCAGATTGATATTCTTGGTGCAATGCATTTATCAATCAGTGCATGGAATGATGTTTTAGATGAAACAATTTCTAAAGCCTTTCGACATGCAGGTTTTATTAAAGAAAACAGACGTAACTGAAGAAATCCCGACAATAGATCTCACGACAAAGATGAGGTTCTCATGCATGAACTTCGCCGTAGAAATCCACAGTTGCCAGAACTTTCATTCGAGGATTTTTTTAAATGTGGATTCTAACGTCATCTGCACGGAGGAAATATCGGATCACGATTATTAGCAGCATATCAACGAGAATGAGAGACTTTCAGATCCAGAAGAGAAGAAGAAAATGAAGTAACACCAAGACCGACTTTAAAACAAGCTGCTGAATACTTGTCAGAACTTAGACGATTTTTTGAGGCCAGTGATAATTGTGTGAAATGCTAACAAATATAGAGAAGATGGAGTCTTGCATTGTACAATCTGTTGTTTTTAAAACAGACAAAGATAAGTGATTATTTTGTTGCTCAATGACTTAATAAAGGTACGTTTTACAAATATTTTTTATATTTCTTGTTTGTTTAATAGAATGGATATCATTTATTAAGTAGTAATATATTAAAAATAATTCCTAATACATAAATAAAAGCATGGAATAGTATTCACTAACCTGTCTCGAAAACATTAAAATGTGAAATACTAACAATTTCCGATGCCTTTCTAAATTACGAACTCTCGATTTAACGAACTGTTTTCGTAGTCCCTACGAGTTCATAAAAACGAGCGTCTACTGTATCAAATAAAATAAAAACTCAATTAAAAATAATTTTGAAAAATAGTATATATTACAGTTGTCTTTCTTTTCTGAATGTAAATTAGTTTAAATAGGAAAAGAGAAAATATTTATATCAAAATGTAGTAAAATATGAAAACACTACATGAGTAAGGAAACTGAAGAAATTTCACATTTAGGATTATCTAGTACGTATGGTGACTTGTTTAGCTTTTTGATTCTGATACTGGATTAATAAAATTCATCAGATTTTTTGTGATCTTCCATTTCAATGGTGGCAATGAAAGTCATTTATGGAGAAACTGCTGCTAGAGCACTGCATCTGAAGCAAGGAACTTGAAAGTCGGTTTCAAATTCTTAGGTCCAAAGGAAATGCCACAATGTCAATTTGATTGTAAATTTCTAAGCATTCTGAAAAAAGAAACATAACTGCAGTTTCTGCAGTTTTATTTTTAAATTTTTAAACTGGAATTTCAGTGCATGCAAGATTTCAAAAATCTGACGTACAAAATTGTTTCATTGAGAAGTTCAGTCTAGTGTTATCAATATTCAAGCAAGGAGGAGGCACCTCTCAAGCTCAAGATTCCTCACAACTGAGGATGTTGTGAAGCCCCTAAACTGGCCTTCATGATTGGTCATATGTATTGGATGCAATAAATTTTGGTACAGTTATTTGAAGTTAATACTAATCAATAAAACACCAAATTAATATTTGGAGACTTACTTATTATATTTTGGTGCACATACAATAGCTATAGCCTCAGGCATCATTAACTGATAAGAACAATGAGTATGTAAATCAACGCTGGACAGAAAAGCTGTTTGGCTAGGATGAGTCTGGAAATAGCATGCATACTAAAGTTACATTACTTTAAACACTGAGCTAGAAAGAAATATAAACTTACAAAAATGAAATTACAATAAATAACAGAAACATTTTCCTAAAATTATTACACACAAAAGTTAACTTGCATTAAGTTAATAATGCATTTTAATTTCAGATTATCCATGTCAAGATTCAACAAACCTCATCACCAAATGTACCGCGATGTCTTCACAAAACAACTGTATATTTTTTAACTAAGCTCGCAGCAGATCACTCAAAAAAGTGAAAGGACTTCATATGCTGTGTCATACATTTAAAAGTGCCATTCCTAACAACTAAATGCCATAGAAGGTAGTAATTAAATATTTTTAATTCTTCATGTGGCATATGTTGAAAATATCCTTACTAAATGCTGTTTATGGCAGGATTAGTATTCTTTAGAACATATTACCAGAAGAAAAAAAATTGAGCAAAAAGATTTAAATGAAATGCCTTTTTATATGTCTTCATGCAAATACTTATGGAATGATCTTATTTTAATGAGCATATAAAAAGTTCAGATATATTTATATACTAGCTGATGAAGTTTACAATGATTTTTAAAAACTGACCTTATACTGTTGCAAGTTATGGGATTTTTTATCTTTTTTGAATAATAAGTTCATAGAAGCAGGAAGAATGAATAATTTATTAGGAAAATACACAAAATAATGGTTGGAAATAACTCAAGGAGAATGCAGATATTCAGCAATTCCTCCTTAACACATGAAATAAATCATTAAATTCCTAGGATAACTCTCAAGGTAAAATTTAACATATAGTTGTTCAGCTAATCACTAGGTCTCATAGCTGATTCACAGCTAAGCTCTCTGATCCATATTTATACTCTGCAGCAGGGGCTTTGAAAATGCCTAAAGAATTTATCATGGGAAGGAAGGATTATAAGAACTGATAATTTAAAAAATGTGTTTTCACGACTCCTCCAGAAAGTTGTCAAGTTGGGCAGAATTTGCCAAATGTTGCCATGCTCCTCAGGAAAAATTGTCTACATCTTCAGTTTTAATTGTGCTATTTTTATAATTCCAAAACCGTTTCACTCAGAATTACGAAACCTATAATTCTCTGAAACAAATAAACACTGAAATACAATATATAGTTAAAGTTGTTCTGCAGAGTAAAATTCTGTGCAGTTTTCAAATTTAATGTTTGATGTTCTTTTTAGGCATTTTTACGGTACATTTAAAAGCCAGATGGAGGCTGGCCGTGTAGCAGCTAGTACAAAATATTACAATACAAAAAAATAAAAATACAATAAAAAGATTAAAATATTTACAATATATATATTTATATATATATATATATATATATATATTGATAATACTATGCTATGTGTTTTGTTTAAAATGAAATAAAAACAATTCCATCTTAGACTAACTGAACAAAAAATAAAATGCACAACACTGATCACATTTCTATTGGGCAGAAGAATCCCCTCCTAAAAAGTAGACCTCTCATTTCTGTCTCTTGTAATACAAAGGACTTTTGTTAAATCAAAACCAAAGTTTGCATATTGTCAACATACTACACTTCAGAATAATTTCTATCAACTAACAACTTTTTCGGGTTATTCAGTTTGTTTTCAATAACCTAACTTCAATAAGGAAAGAAAAAAACTGACATTTCTAATGCAATATAAAAACTGAGTAAAATATCAAAGCACTAAACTCACATGAATCCATCCTAGAGTAATAAGATCATGTTTATCTAGATACATAAATATATCTTCTTCATTATCAGTAGTACAAGAATCTGATGTGCCAGACTGCTTTGGAACAAGCAAATGTGTAACCATAAGTTGATTATGAGACTGCAGAAGAAAATATGGTTCAGTTTCCCAATAGTTACAAAAAAGTACATGTGAAATGACAAATATATTAATCTTAGAATAATGTCAAAAAATAACACAGTAATTAAATATTCCTATGTTCTACATATATTTATGTACAGTAAATATAAATACTTGTATTAGCATGTTAAAATACATTTATTATTAATAATAAACATTATGTAATGATGTCTGAAATTTTTAATAAAATACATTTTGCTTTTGCTCTTCCTAAGCTGCCTTATTGGTCTATCACAGTTCAGACAATAGTTGGCCTGATGTTCTCATGAAAAATCTCTGACACTTTTGGACAGCTTGGTTGTTTACATGTATCCTTCCTTCCTTTTCCTATAACATTAATCTAATGTCTTTGCCATATCTTGAGCAACATTCTTGGTGATAAGATGTCTAAATGATTAATAGGTTCAACTATTCCTGAGAAATACTTGAGAAGCAAGTGTCCAGCCATTTGAGGAAAAAAATAACATACTTGCATAGTTCTCTTCATTTACCAGAACAAAATATAGTCCTTTATTATCATTTATGCTTCTTATTCTATGAATTTAGAGACAATTTTCCTTTTCATTCAGATCTCTATCATCTCTTAAATTATCCATTCCATCTAGCAAGTTACTGGGCTTTTGATGGTCTAAAAAAGTATCATCTTAAGTCATTTTTTAAAAATTTTAATTGTATATAATTTAAGAAAATCAGGTTTTGATGTTGGAAGAAAATCAAATTTTGACATTTCAAATATCTATAGATTAACTATGTCCATGTCTTGTCACTAATATATTATGATACATTAACAAAGTATTTATCATCCATGTAGCCAGGCAAATATGGCCATTCCATGGCGCATATCATTTCAAATATCATCCACAGTTGGAAAACTATCAGTTCTCAATATCTACTGCACAATATATATTGTTCATAACGAATTGTTTTCATTTATGTCCATAGACTGTATGCTTTCTAAGCACACTTGTTTGTGCAACATCTACACCTGTACAAAATATTACGGATTTTTCTCTTTTATTGCTGTTTGCATAATTTATCAAAGTTTTCTAATTTCCAATTTGTTTCAGCAAACAATGTTTATAAATGAAATTTTAGAAATTAACATTTTATTTAACAGAGAGAAATGACCACACTTTTTAATTCCTTGCATTTAAATAAGTTATGTGCCTTTTTTCCTTTAAGAAAAGTTGACTTCAACAGTTAACAATATTTGGTTACTTCACTAATACAACTTTAAGATTTATTAATTTTATTCATTTAATTTTTTGTAGTTCCTATAAGTTTTGTACATTTATTTTAATCTTTAGATTATTTGTTATTACATAGTCATTTCATTAAATTTATTTAATAACTCAAATAAGCCCAAAAAAATTCTGAATACAAAATTAAGAGAATAAATCAAAATACTAAACATTGCCAAAGAAGGTCTAATGCAATTGTTTAAAAAACAAATTTCACTTCAGGTTGTAAATATTATTTTTAAAAAAGGTAAATTTGTTACTGAAGCATTTAAATAAATGTGGGCATAAAAAGATATCCTCTGAATGAAAAGACAGGAAACTTTATAAGAATGAATCTAAAAAATCAAAGATTACCAATTCACACAATTAAAATGAATATGACAAGATCATGGAGTGTCAGCAGCACCATTACTTAAAAAGATGCCTTATGAAAACTGGATTAAAAACTTGTAGACCATGCAGAAAATCTGAGCTGACACTTCCAAAGAAAGAAATGATTTTCTTGAACCCAAATGTAAGCCACATAACTTATCAAAACTAGAGCAAGGAATCAATTAATTATTTTCATTACTCAACCCAATTTTTCTAATTTATTTCAGAATTTTACTTTTAAAACCTTTTATGCTTTGCTCTCTCACTGAAAATATTTCTTTCATTTTTCTTCATATTTTCTGAAAATGGGTTGTTTGAAAATGAGTTCTTTTTTCCCAATGAAAATTTAATCCAAATACTTAATTAACAAGGTTCAACATCTTTGTAAGAAGCATGGGGAAGGAAACAAAGAAGGCTGGATTTTAACTAAGCACCCTCCATCTTCATTGATTTGGAGCAGCATATATGTTTATGGCAATGGTCACATCGAAATAATTAATGGAAATGTATATTCATAAAACTATAAGACAGACCTTGGAAAAACATCTCTTTCAACAGCATAATGCATGCTGTCCTCAAGGAGGAGCAATTTTTCTACAAAACAGTGCTCCTTGTCTTACATTCAGGATCCTGAAAAATTATTTTAATTTTAAATAGCTTAAAGTGCTAGCTTGGCCTGGAAATAGTCCTGATATGAAATCCACTTAAGAAATATGGAAAACTTTCAAGAATAAAGTCCATGAAGAAATAACAAAAATGGATAACTAATTTAAAGAAAATATAGGATCATGACAAACATCTACAGCACCATTTGCACAATCTTTATAAGACAAATACCAAAAGAATCTAAGCATTGTTAAAAGCCACAATGTGTCGTACTAAATACTGAAGTGTATTAATATTGTTTAAAATATAATTTGCTATAAGTCTTCTGTTTAAATTTATCACTGTATACATTTAATGTACTACAATAATTCTTATATAGAATCTAAAGAGGATTTCTATACTTACGAAGAAAAGAGAAAAGCAGTAATATCATTCAGAAGATTTTTATCTGTGAAAGAGCATACAAATGTATGGTAGTTTTCCAGCATGTTATAACTTCCTGTGACGTACTGTATGGTAGGGAAAAAATGTTATGTTCACTACAAGAACAATAAAAATAATTATATCATAAATAATACATTCATGTAAATAGAAATAACCTAAACACAATTCCATCTGCCAAAAATATGAAAATAAGAGTACACTGGAAGATTTAACTACAGTAGCAACATTCAATTGAGCCTTTTGAGATTTGGCAGTGGGAAATAAGGAGCATATGACGTATGAAAGAAAAGATACAAATCATCTGTACTCAGTAGATCACTGGAACTAGAGCCGAAGTGTTAAAACTAAAATCCTATCATAACACCTAAGCGTGGCATTTTTTCTATCATACAGTCCATCACAGGAAGTTATAACATGCTGGAAAGCTACCATACATTTGTATGCTCTTTTACAGATAAAAATCTGCTGAATGATATTACTGCTCTTCTCCTTTCTTCATAAGTGCAGAAATCTCTTTAGATTTTTTTCATTAACTAAGAAATACCTAACTTATATCTGTCATAAAAGCATAGTGACATAAAACAAACATTCATGAAGTCAAACCAGATTTACGGGGTCGTTCTTAAGTCACAATCACAAGGGACCCCACATTCCAAGCGGCTTTTACATCATCAATTAATTTTTAAATATAAGATAAACATATCTTTTGTCTTAATATGAAGGAGTATCCCAAAAGTACAAGAGCTATGAGCCTACCACTTCACAAATCCATCGTTGAATAAAATATGAGATAAGAATTATTATTTGGGAGGGAGATGCTTGATTTCATTACAGAAACCAATAAATTAAAAGCATTGCTGAAAGTTTTAATGAAAATGTGGAAATAAACATAAGGAAAGCAAAAGCAAGTTATGATCTACATTCAACTGCCAATTTTACATTGATTTTCCTTAATGTACTACTGGCATTATTAATACCAATACAAAGAATTTCTACACCTAAATTTTTATGCAAAAGAGAGCTTTCATAAATCTCTATGGAATGAGATAAAAAATAAACAACAAATAAATGTAACTGTATTTAACATTTTATTTTAAAATATAAAATTACCATTTTGCCAGCTAATATACCACACGTTTCAACATTCCGATCAGTGTTGGGCATAGCAAGGCTTAGGAATGAGTCTATCCCACCTGAAGGCACAATAACAATTCGGAGGCCATGAACATAAGCAGAATCTGGACCCGGGCTCAAAAGAGAACGAGGCTTAGTACTACGATCTATGGAAGGAGTACTGATGGCTCGGCTGAAAGAAAATGATCAAGATTAAAGTTTTATATGAGATTAAAAAACACCAGCAAATGCAGTGGCATTATTACAATCAGTTTCCATTCAAAAACTAACAAAGAAATGAAGTAAGTGTACATTCCAATTAACGGAATGCCAACTGAAAATTATGTACTAAAGCACCAACTGTGGTTAAAATTTTTATTTCAGCTCACAAGAAGCCATGCAATGACATCAGGGTGAAAACAAGGGAAGAATGAACTTTAATCCAGTAATTTTCAAATGAGGAATAGTTATGAACAAAGTCTTCCAGGAAAAAGATAAAATCTATATTAAGATTTCAAAGTACCACAAAATGAAATTATATTTTACTAATAGCAAAATGAATAGCACAGTAATGAAAGTTATGCTGTGAAAAAAATTATAGAAGGGGAGCTGGTTTGAACATAACCAGTTACTTTGTTATTTAGATCTTTACTGTCGTTTCTCCTTTCTATTTCCCTAGAAAAATGCAAATTAGTTTGCGAGTATTTTTAACAGAAGTTTTCAGACTGTATGACACAGCATGTTTGAAACCATGCTACTAGGTTTCGTTAGCTGTAATAAGATTGTATTTCTTTAATTTTATGTTATTGCTGCTGACATTTAAATTATTACACTTATGAGAAATTTTTTAGCCAACTCACACTAAATAAATTGTTTAGTCTTCAGCTACTAGGTTTAGTTTAATTTCTGAAATTTACTGTTATTTTTCAGTTGCATTACCACAAGAGGTGGCTTGATCTTGTCAAGCACAAAATGTGCATTTATATTCAAGTTCTGTTTTAATAAAAAGGTTATTTTAAAACTTTTCAAGACTCTAGTTTTTTTCAGACAAAGTGATAATTTTTTCCAAATCTGTTAGGGTTGATACTAATTTATGCTACCAAGGAGAACCAAATCCAATAAAGTAATGAAAAAATAGCAACACTGTTGTAATTGTTTATCAAAACTAACAAAACGATCAAAAAATGAATCATCCATGATTTACATAACCTACAGAGGATGAATTTGAGATGACAGAGGTCATGTGACTCACATACGTATATAATGACACAAAAAATCATATTATCTCGGACATAATGTGTATTGTGTGTACAATATATTTTGATTCTCCTACTAAAAAAAAAAATTAGTTAAAAAAATTAGAATAAACAAATTTCTCTATTTCTTCTTCTTTTTTTTTTTTTTTTTTTTTTATTTATCTATTTTGGATTTAATAACACAATTATTCTTTTCATCAAGCTGTAAATATAATTAGGGTTACCAATAAAAACATCCAGTTAGATTTTATATTAACATTTATATTTAAAACCTACAGACATTAAATGGCAAGTACCAAAATAATTAAAATAAATCTGCAAATATATTCAAATATTGCTATACTTGCCACTTACTTTTCAGTATAAGGAATAGACAATTCAGAATACAATGAAGATGCCGGAGATACTGTAGATGCACGAGAACTGACAGATAAGCTTCGATCTGTTTCTCCTCCAATACTCTGTGCGTTTATTAAACGTGGTGATTCAGGCAAAATAATTTCAGCACTTTTCAGAATAGCTCTACCTTCAGCTAATCTCAATTTTTTTTCTTTTTCAAACTCTTCTCTCATTTTATTTTCTTTTCTCAGCCTTTCCTCTTCTTCAAATAATTGCATTTGCCTTAATTTTTCTTCAGCCTCTTGCTTTTCCTAGGATTAAAACAATTACATATAACTTAAAGTGCAGTTTTATAAATCATTTAAGGAAACAGTCTGCATCAAATTATTTACATCTATATAACTATATAATAATCTAAAATTAAAGACAATGTCATTATCAAAAAATTAAAAGGTGATTTATGACAAGGATTGCTTAAAGAGATCACATTTGCTCTAGACTGTTTTGATAACATCAATATGAAAAAGAATCCTACTATATATAAATTTCATTTAATTGATTTATTGGCAATATACTATATAAATATGCAGAATAATTTTATCATTTTTACACTAATTAAAAAAAAAAACTTTCAGGACTTTAATTAGACACATTTTTTTAATATTTTAATTAGAAATAAGAGTATATAAAATTTATTAATAATGAACTGCCTTCTTAGTTCCCCAAAATTCATTTCTATAGCATTTCTGGCATTCATATAAATCTCTAATCTTAAAGTGTGCAACACCTTTTCATCTCAACAACTGTAAGAGATTCCTCATTTAATCCTCATCATCCTCATTTCCAGAAATTTTCTCATTTGCGCCTGAGGGAGCAAATGGCTCAGTGATTAATGATATAGCTTGAACTTTTTCATTAATATTCACCTAAGCTTTTATTCTTTAATGTTTTACAATTCACACAAGTAAAAGATATTGCATTTTGTTCTTCACCTTTCTCCATGTCATTAAGTACTGTAAGGCCCTCATGCTTAAAACAATTCTTTAATATGTTTTTGGAAATATTCCATCATTTAGCATAAGCTGTAGTTTAAGAAAATTAGTTTTCATGTAAACTTATTTGAACTTTATCACTCCTTTTCAAGTGATGATTTTGCTGATTTTTATAGCTATATTATACTTTCATAACTAGCTCTAAATATAGTAGATAGACCCCAAATAGACCATTTGTTTTTTCAGAACATGAAACATGAAAAGTTAACACTGCCCTCACTGGAATTCAAATTACAAAGCTTCCATCCACTAGCTGGACATTGCTATCCCATTACACCATGAAAACACACATGGGACGATGGAATAGTTCATTGTATTTTTTCCACTTGAAGGGTGACTAGGAAGAAACATGGGACTCTTTTAATCAAATCCAACTATTAACAAATTACCAACCAAAATATTTTAAGTCCGGGTGTCACTGTAAAGATTAAACTTTTGATGAAGAAAGCATGAAATACTAACTGTTATCTTGCCATGATTCAAACCACAAATCTTCCACACTTGCTAGCTAACATGCTAACCACTTACACCATGAAAGCATACATGAGGCAATGCAACAATTTATTGCCTAATAATTCCTTAACTACATAGTTTAATTTTAGACATGGTGATTACTAGAAGGAATAAAAATGCAATATACTTTAATGAGGTATTAATGCTATGCAACTGTCAGTCAGAATACAGACATTTTTTAGACCAGCTGTATTCAAATATGTAGTCACGTCAGTGAGGACCCCAACCCCCCAAAAAAATTAATATCACAACCCCAATCAGAGTGTTGACCCTTAATAATATAATATAAATTCAGATGTTTTAGGACTTTTATCCACCTTGCTACCTCATTTTGGGTGGTGACCCATAGTTTGAATACCACTGCTTTAGATCATTATGCTGTTTAAAACCCCATTCATTAAAAAATTTGATGATTATCCAAGCTTCTAAATTAAAACTTACACCATGAAAACATACATGGGACATTGATTTCAATAAATGATTACAATAAATGATAAATTCTCCATGCTCTGACATTAATGAATGAGACTTAAACAATCTGACAGCAATATTCAAATGACAATATTAACAATGATCAAATTAAGCTGTAACTACTATATATCTTCTAGGATAAATTTTAAGAGGTAAGTACTGATAATATTTTAATGCGAAGTAACATCAAACTTGATTGATGTTGTTCAGGGCTGTGGAGTTGGAGTCGGTAGATTTTTGGGTAAAAGAAGTCGCAGTCATTAAAAACATGTTGATTCTGACTCCAATGCGACTGTAACTACAGTTTTTGTTGGACAGTTTGAATTTGAAATGAAATTAAAGTGAAAAAAAAAAAAATTTAATGACAAACTGAGTTAAATTTTATTTATAATTATATACATAAATAAATAGTTATTTTCTTTTTACTGACATTAATAAAAAATATAAGGGAGCAGGATAGATGTGATATTTGCCATTATTGATTAAACTGATTCATTTAGTTACAAATCTCATTGGTAAATTTAGGTAAGCAGCAATAGCAGCAAAAACTCAAAAAATTGATGCCATTCTTAGAGAGCGAGCAGGAATTGGAGCTATTATTGATCGAGCAACGTAATGGAGAAGTACATATTTGATGATACAGTGGTTTTTAGAATGAAAACCTTTTTCAGAACATTTAGATAACTCTAATTTTTCACTAACAGAAAGACTGGGGAATGATCTTGCAGAATTGGAAATTCTTCTTTCAACACCGTATATAGCCACAAAAAAGCTACAATCTGAAGAATTAACAGGAGGTGAGAATGTAAGACGATATAGATAACCCTAATGTCTCACTAAGAGAAAGACTGTGGAATGATCTTTCGGAATTAGAAAGAAACTCTTCTTACTACCAGGGCTGTGGAGTCGGAGTCGGGTAGATTTTTGGGTAAAAGGAGTTGGAGTTGCTAAAAACACATCGACTCCAGTTTTTGTTGGACAGTTTGAATTTGAAAGGAAATTAAAGTGAATTGAAAAAAAAAAAATTAATGACAAACTGAGTTAATATTTTTATTTATGAACTATATACATTAATAAATAGTTACTTTCTATTTTATTGACATATTAGTAAATAAATATAAGGGAGTAGGATGGATGCGATATTTGCCATTATTGATTCAACTGATTCATTTAGTTACTAATCTCATTGGTGCATTGAGGTAAGAAGGAAGAACTCCCAAAACTGATGCCACTCTTAGGAAGCGAAAAGGAAAAGGAGCAACGCAATGGAGAAATGCATATTTTATGATATAATGGTTGTTAGGATTAAGAATTTTTTCAGAAGATGTAAATAACCCTAATATTTCACTAACAGAAAGACTGTGGAATGATCTTGCAGAACTGGAAATCCTCCTTTCAACACCATATATAGACACAAAAAAGCTACAATCTGAAGAATTCAAAAGGTAACACTGAAGAATGTGAGTTTGTTTTTCTGAACGGAGGGTTTATTGCCAGAAGGAATCATTTCTTCAATGAAGAAAAGAGAAACAGTTGCTAGACAATAAGATAGCGCTGGGTTCAATATATGTAGATCAAAACACCACATTTCGGGGATGACAAACAAATTAAAAGGCAAAGAAAGAAAGCATCTACGAACTTTCATTAAGAATGAAATTATTCTTAGAGAACTGGAGTATTCATTATTCTTAGAAAGGAGAGTATTTTATTAGAACAACTGGGTATTCAAATCAGGACAGTCAAACTGCAGATATTGTAACTGAGTCCTCATCATCTTCTTCCACTGATGAATGAGATGCGAAATATTGGATAATATTGAAAAGGCTAAGGCAAAGGAATGAAAATAAAGAACCAAGATCCTTTATATATAAAAATGAAAAAATACAAACAAGATTTATGCACGGCCTCTGAAAAAATAGATAAATATGACTGCTCTTGCAAGACACCTCTTTTAGAACTTACAAAAATCTATCCTGAAAAGTTAAAGGAAGTAGCCGTAACAGTAACAGCTCTTCTTCCTACTCAAGTCAGTGTGAAAAGACTCTTCTCAATTCTGCAGTTTATCAAAACAGATCTATGGTCCTCTAACAAAGAAGATCTTGCTGAAGTTTTACTGTTTCTTAGAAATTACTAATGCCAGTTTTTCATTTTCATAATAAAAGCTAAATAATATAAAAAATGTGCTATGCATCAAATTTTATCTGTAGCATCTACTACTTCTTTTATATTAAAAAAATAAGCTGTACCCATGTTTATATGTTTACATATACATGATGGAGTCGGAGTCATTAAAATTCAAGGAGTCGGTCATTTTCCCTACAGATTCCACAGCCCTGCTTTCTACAACATATATAGCCACAAAAAAGCTACAATCTGAAGAATTAACAGGAGGAGGAGAGAATGGAAGAATGTGATATTTGTTCTTTATGAGATGAAGAGTTTATTGCAGATGGAAACATTTCTTCAATGAAGGAAAGAGAAACTAGTTTGCTAGATACTAAAACCTTGCTGTGCTCAATATATGTAGATCCAAAACGCTGAATTTTGTTGGATGACAAACAAATTAAAAAAGGCAAAGAAATCCATTTGTGAACTTTCATTAAAAATGAAATTATTCTCAGAACAACTGGAGTATTCAAATCAGGACAGTCAAAGTGCAGACATTGCAACTGAGTCTCTATCATCATTCTCTTCCACAGATGAACGAGATTTTGAGAAATATTTGGATAATATTGAAAAGGCTAAGGCAAAGCGAATGAAAATAAAGAACCAAGAGACATTAGATATAAAAATGAAAAATTACAAACAAGATTTATACACGGCTTTTGATGATTGCTCTTGTAAGACACCTCTTTTAGAATTTATAAAAATCTATCCTGAAAAGTTAATGAAAGTAGCCCTAACAATAACAGCTCTTCCCTCCTACTCAAGTCAGTGTGGAAAGACTCTTCTCAGTTCTGAAGTTTATCAAATCGGATCTATAGTCCTCTACCAAGGAAGGTCTTGCCGAAGTTATACTGTTTCTTATAAATTACTAATGCCAGTTTTTCCATTTCATAATAAATGCTAATTAACATAAAAAACTGCTATGCATCAATTTTTTCCTGAAGCATCTATTACTTCTTTTATATTAAAAAACATAAGCTGTGCATCTAATTAATTTGTTAGAAATTCTTAAAGAAGTTTCTATCTCTCTGCAACAACCCATCTTTTTACTACTTTGTGGGGTTTTAATACTTTGCAGGTCTTTTTAGTGCTTTGTGGTTTAAACAATC